AAAATATTTACATAATATTTATAAGATTTATTTTAATATTTTGTAAATATTTTTGTGGCTTTATATTGCACAGATCATAAACATTATTATAAATATTATGAAATATTTATTGTAAATGTCATTGTATAAATACTTAATGAGACATTATAATCCAAGTAAAAAATACTTATTAAAAATATTAATTTTTATTATCATAAATATTACATAAAATATTTAATCTTTATTTTAATAATATTTCGAATAAAGCTTTATATAAAATATGTATGAAATATCTATATAACATTTCAAAAAAATGAATATTAATAAATATTTATCATAAATATTCATAAATATTCTGTGCTGTCTGGGCAGTTGCAAAACTGCTGAGTCTGCTGAACGCAGCCAAAGATAATGGTACGTTTCCACTGAGCGCGTCACGCGTCGCGAAAGAGAGAAAGAGAGGAGTTGTGTACATATACAAACTTCATTCTTTCTCTCTTTCGCGTCGCGTTGTGACGCGATGGACGACACGACGCGTGACGCGCTCAGTGGAAACGTACCATTAAGATACTGGGAATGAGAAAGTTGAGTTTTGGAACGCATCCCAGAGGGACGTGGTAGCACTGCTAGCGCGTTCTTCGAAAAACAACAGAAGAACATGAAGAACACGCTACCGCGACACAAGGTCTTAACACTCAGGATGTCGACTCGAAAAAGTAAGTAAATCTAACATAAATTGTATTCCACTTTTCGCAATTCTTGCATGCAAATTGCTTTCAAACAGAATGTTAATTTTGTTATTGTTGGAAGTTTTCTTTACTTAGGGGCCGATTCTGTAACTCTCGACAATCGTTGATGTCGTTGAGCAGATATTATGTAGAGTAAAAAAGCTGCGCAATGACATCAACGACTGTCGTTAAGAATTATAGAATCGGTCCCTTAGATCAGTGTTGCGATTTACTTGCACATTTCGGCCGATTTTCAACTTGATTCGTGCTCCTTCACTAACTCGCGCGTAACCTAAATGTCGATCCGGCATTTAGGTTACGCTAGGGTTGGTGAAGAAAGGAACAGGAATCAAGCTGAAAATCGGCCGAAATGTACAACTAAATCTCAGCACTGCCCTAGATAGTATTACTTTGGAGAGAGAGAGGGGGGGGGTCTGAAAGTATAATGGTACGTTTCCACTGAGCTCGTCACGCGTCTCGTCGTCGAAGGAGAGAAAGAGAGGGATTGTGTATTAATATAATCTTATCTCTTTCTCTCCTTCGACGACGCGACACGTGACGCGCTCAGTGGAACCATACCCTTGTTCAAGCTGCGTTCGGGAATGCACACCAAATGCCTCCAAGTATCATTTTATCCTTGTTATTCATCGAATGTTAAACAAAGATAAATTGATTCCTGAAGGCACTCGATATGTATTTCCGAACGCAACCTCAACCAACACGAAGAAAATTTAAAAGTGCAAAAAGAACATTCTGTTGAACGTGACCATTATATGCGAACATTATATTATGCAAAGTCATCGACGTAAAAACATCAGTGTGAGCAAGATTTGAAGAACTGTAAAGTGTTGATAAGAGTCACTTAGATGCGTATCAACACTTGACAGTCCTCGAAAACTTATTTACATACACTTTTTTGGCGTCGATGGCTTTGCGTTTTGGCTTCGGAGCTTAAATTGGATAGGTCTGATATATATAGTACTACACTTGGCTATGTACATATTATATTTCAGTGTGTACAAGTTAGTATTATATATATACCAGTATTGGAACGTATCTAGATAAAAGTATCAAGATACGGTATCTAGATACTTTACGTGTCTAGATGCTGTACCTAAATGCGTTACCTAGATCTTTATTAACGCATTTAGGTACAACTAAAGTATCTATATACTGTATCTTGATACTTTTACCTAAATACGTTCCAACACTGATATATATTCATATAAGTATATTATACATGTTCAGCGTAACGGTCCACACAATTTTTCAGACACTTCCGATAGTTAAAAATTGAAAGGTGAATATTCATCTGTTTACAGCTACATAACATGCAATAAAACATTTAAAAAAACCTTTTTTCATAAAAGAATCAAAATCTTAAATTTTATAAATAGCACCATACAATTTTTGTGCATAATATTGTAGGAGTCTTCAAGACAAATTCAAGTCACTACCGAAATGTCATTTTTATTGATGTTTTATTGATTTTATTGATACTATCAAATTTGTAACAGCAATACTTACAACCTCTGACTATGACACCGAACATACATATGTTTATTTAATGAAATATGCAATAAAATCAATGAAACATCAGTAAAAGTGATACTTCGGTAGTGATTTGAATTTGTCTTGAAGACTCCTACAACATTATAGAAAAAAATTGTATGGTGCTATTTAAAAAATGTAATGTGATTTTGATTTTTTTATAAAAAAAATTCTTTTAAATTATTGTATCGCATGTTGTGTAATGTGTATATAAAATAGATGAATACTCACTTTTCAATTTTTTTTAACTATATCGGAAGATATGTCTGAGAAATCGTGTGAACCATTACGCTGAACATGTATATATTTTTATTTGTCATCTAAGAAAAAAATATTTCAGAAAAAAGTTGTATAGCTTTGAAGGGGACATAAGATGGTGTCATTAATTTGACCTTGAATAGTTGCTTGAATTTTACGTGAAGGTCACCTTTAATTTCTTAAATGGAAACTCCTATTTTTCATTGGCTATTCTTATAGCTTACCTCAAGAGCCAAAACACTATATTTTTTTCATGAAGCACTTTTTTAGTTAAGATGCTCGAAAGTTATTGTACCTCCGGCATTTAGCATTATCCAAGGTGTCCGACCGACAGCTAAAACCTCTTAAATGTTGTTTAAGATCATGAACTACATAACATATGTTAAGATCGAAACCATTGGACGTTGTTCCTCTTATTTTCATTTTTACACTAAAAATTCATTTTAACGTAAAAATAAAAATAAGATGTACAACTTTCAATGGCCTTGATTTTGATAAATGTTATCCAGTTCATGATCTTAAACAACAAGGTTTTAGCTGTCGGTCGGACACCTTGGATAATGGTAATGCCGGAGGTACAGTAACTTTCGAGCATCTGAACTAAAAAAGTGCTTCATGAAAAAATATTTCATTATAGTGTTTTGTCTCTTGAGGTAAGCTATAAGAATAGCCAATGAAAAATAGGAGTTTTCATTTAAGAAATTGAAGGTGACCTTCACGTGAACTTCAAGCAACTATTCAAGATCAAACTAATGACACTATCATATGTCCCCCTCAAAGCTATACAACTTTTGTCTGAAACATTTTTTTCTAAGATGAAAAATAAAAAAGTCATTTGGAGTGGGACATTAAAATGGGACACCCTGTATAACTCATTTATTTTTCTATTACAGCTAAAAGTGAACCTGCGATGATCGCGTCAGAGCATACATCCGCGCCAAAGCGTACATCGGTGCCAAAGCGCACATCCGCGGAATCTGCACCGCCTGCACCAGGATATACTATATATTCGTGCCAAAACGTACATCCGCGGAATCCGCACCGCCTGCACCAGGATATATATCCGCGCCAGGGCATACATCCGCGGAATCCGCACCGCCTGTACCAGGATATACACTCGCGCCGCCCGCACCAGGATATACACCCGCGCCGCCTGCACCAGAATATACATCCGCGCCAGGGCATACATAC